AGATATAACGAGAAAATTTTTATATACAGGTGATAAAAGAAGAATATTGTGAATCACCTTTTTCAATTGATCTTGTATTATTTCCTTCTCCGAAAAATAGATCTACGGACAATGGACTTTGTTGATCATGATCATTCAAGCTCTCTTCGTCAGCCCAAAATTCAATGCTTTTATTAAATCACCATCATATAACCTTTTTGCGAGATCAAAAATGCAATATTAAAGGTTCTTACGTCGAAAAGGTGTTGTTGTACGTACTCAATGGCAGTAAATTTTTTAATTTCTTGTTCTTCTTTGATGTACCCTGCGATTGGATTCGATGGGTAAGGTAGTTTTTGCATGCGAAGATGTGGACATACTCATGTCGCCGTTGATATAATGACCTGATTTGGGTTCAATGTTGAGAAAGGTTTCCGTGTTGTGTCTGTTTTGTAATAATTATTGTTAATCGACATAACGGCATTAATGGTTTACCGCAAGTATAAGAATAAAAGATATTTTTATTGTAATAATCAAAATACCGGCAAATATTTTCAGATGGTCTCCAGCCGAAACACATCGCGTCATCTCTACCTGTGAAAATCAAATATTTATCATCTAAACTCCATGCAGTACACAATATCCGTCCGTGATGACCATGAAATACAGACATGGGAACGCCTTTCTCTAAATTCCATATCTTATATTGAAATTAAAATATTGATAATAAAGAATACTGTCACCTATGCTACGACTCAAATAAGATACGTACAATAGCCATCCCATCAAAAGACATTGAAATTGCTACTATCCATCAGGCACTATGACAAGTCGGTTAAGTTTATTTCAAGAGCTTTTTTGTATGATGACTATAACGTAAGAATATATGCTAATAATTCGATTCCATTTGTTCGTTTTACCAGTTGATATCAAATTCTCCGAATTTTAAAACCATCGGAACAAAAAAGAATTCCAGTTTCATCTGGTAAAAGAGATTAATTTATAAAAGAGCACATTAATTGTATAAATGATTAAGAAAAAGAAACTAAGATTTTTAAATATGCGAACCTAGAGGGCACCAATTCAGTTTATAGAATCAAGAATAACGTAGGTAAAAGAATCGCCATAAAAATTATAGACATGTAAGTCGTAAACCATCCGTCCTGAAATTCGGGAATAAAGATAGGCGACTAATTTTTTGTAATTCATAATCACAAATAATTTATTCTCTTTTTACCAATTACAACAATAGGAATTATTGTCCAGTCTTTTTTAGATCCTCAAGTTGGTAACAAATAAATGTTAAGAATTGAGGATTAGATATATGCAAAACAGATAGATACTGAAGTAAGCAGGTTGATAAGTTGATTTCTGGAAACAGATTTTCATTTTCATTTTAATTTTTTATTAACCTTCATCTTTTTTTTGATGCTAAGAAATAAGGCAGGTTACAAGTCAATAAATAGATTCTTAATAAAAGAACCAGATATATATTATGCACATAAAGTTGATCATTCCTTATTTAGAAAATTATGACTATAAATAAAGATTCTAATTTAGAATTTTTTATTTATAGTCACATCGAATAAGAACTTGCTTTATAATTACTATTATCCAAAATTTTAATTGAATAAAATTTTGTCTATAAAATTGTTAATTATAAGCCAACTGTAATTATAGACAGTATGACTATAAACAATGCTAACTATATAAATTTATATAAGTTGATTATAAATCATATATTAAGTTTACTATAAATCAATATTATATTGATACTATTTCAATATTGGTGATTATTTTTTGAAGCCCTATTGTAAATTAAGAAATAAAATTAAAGAATTAATATAAATACTTATGTATTTATTTAATATATTATACATAAATAAAACTTTAATTAAATTTGTATAATAAAATCAATCTTTTTCAAAAAATATATTATTAAACATTTATTTTATAATATCAAATTATCAAATTATCAAATAGTATTAATTCAAATGTTTTAATGATTTCAATAACTTATATTTCAATAATTAAAAAAATTAATTTATAACTATTGTTAATACATTTGTAATAAATTAAAAAACTAAAATATATTGCTTGTAACTATAGATATAAACAATAAAATAATCAAAAGAAGAAGAATAATAATGATGATAACAATGATAACAATAGAAAATTAATAATAATAATATTTATAAAAATAGAAATTGTTTTATTTGTAATAAATCTGAACATATTACAATCAACTACTCTCAATATAACTAACAACAATTCTTTAAAAAATTAATATATCTTATTATTAAATTAAAAAAATAATTAAAACTTTTTTGCAAAATGAATCTATTTTTAAAAACTCAATACAATTAGCCAAAAAGATGATTTAACTATAGGCATGCAAAAAAAAAAAACTTGATACTTAAGTACATTCTTCTAAAGTACAAAGAAATATAGAACTCTGAATAATTTATTTAATAATCAGTTATAGGTGCTAAGATTAATCTTTTTTTTATACTGTAATTGATGATAAAGAAGAGTTGAACCTTATTTCAGAAATAATGTTATGTATTAAAATTATAATAATTAATATTATCACAAAAAACTCATATTTTTATTGTCTTACCCAACTTCAAATGCTCAATTCCCTCCTCGATAAATACCCGATCACTTAATACCCGATATCCCCTTTTCTCATACCATTCTTTTTTATTTAGTTGCGCGTGCAAAATAAAATTTAAAATTCCTAAATTCGACATTGCGAAGGACTCTGCGGATTGGAGAAGTAATGTGCCAATACCTAGATTTCGAAAAGGTTTTAAAACGGCCAGACGACCAATCTTTGTTACTTTTGTCGGAGAGAGTGGTTCAGGTGAATGATCAGGAGGATTGGAATTCAAAGAATCACAAAGATGGATCCGAACTGTGCCAACTGGGAGAGAAGATTTAATGGCAAGGAAATAGTGGCATGTTGAAGATGAGTCGTACCTTGGAAATTTATAAATAGAATTATTTTAGAATGAAAGAGTTCTCGAAAATCAATAGTTATCTTTAAAACGGCTTACTTATCAATCTCATTTTCCGCAGAACAATTCTGCTCTTTAACAAATACTTCAAATCTTATTTTATTACATTTTTCTTTTTCTATAAATATGAAAGTTTAATAAATGAAAAAGATTCTTTTA